AGTTTCTGAGAAAGCAAGCAACTTGTAGCTCTGTGACCAGCAGGCAGTGCTTTTGCCTGTTTCTGTTTTGAAACAAAGTATGAGTGGTTTTTTTAGGCTAAATTGGCACATATTATTTTGGGGGTTAAAAGTAATAATAGTTCATGTTTTTTGAGCATTTACTATATGCTAGGAATTGTACCACGTACTTTAAATATTACCTCACTGAATTTCATAATTCCATAAAATAGTAGGCACCTTTTTTTTTTTTTTAGTAGGCACCTTTTTTTAACTCTCATTTTTATACATGAAAAAACTGAAATTCGTACACTTGGCTAAGGTCACATAACTAGTTAGAGTATTAAGCCAAGATTAATCCTAGATCTGAATCTAGAATTAGCTCTTTACTTGAATTTAACAACCATTTACTGTATATACTCGAGTATAAGCTGACCCGAGTATCAGTCGAGGCACCTAATTTTACCACAAAAACTACATTAAAAATGTGCTGAAAACCAGCTTATACACGAGTATATATGGTAAGTAATCAGAGTGGGGTTGGAAATGGTAAGGCAATACCCACTCTGAGACTGTAACTGTGCTCTGAAAACTTAACCACATGAACTGCAATTGAAGGAGGAATGTTATGAGAGCTGTGCAGATGTTGGGCAGATTTTTGGTTATTACATCTTTCCCTTCCTCCAGTTAAAATTTTGAGGTGATAGGGGAATAAAATACATAATTTTCATTTAACTCTAAAGTGAAACCTCTATTTTTTCACTTCTTTGTATATCTTCTTTATCACCAGATTGACATATTTCTAGGAGACATTTAAATATATTAGCTATAATGGAGCTATCCTTATCTTGTTAAAACAAAACACTTTTTTGCCAAAATTGCAATAAATTGTTCAAAGCACAAGAGAAATAGAATGTGGCTTTAAAAAAATTCACTGGGCCATCTTTGAGGGAAATGCGCTAGGACTTTTTTGGGTGATCTTATGAAACGTGAAGGTACAACCTGTCCTTCTGCTTCTGTGTCTGGAACTGTGTTGTCTGTAAGGACCTCAAGGTACAGTCAACGGTCAGTGGTTTTTTTTTTTTCAAATCCCAAACTCACCGACAGCGTTGAATGTTCTCTGGAGTCCTCTGAAGGTTGGATCCTGGCCCGTTGGTGGTCTTTCTTCAGTTTGTACCCATGTTCCAAGAGCTAATGAGCAGACGGACCACTGCTGGTAGAGTGTCTCACATTGTTTTTCCAGATTTAAATTTTAGTTATAAAACTGATCTGTGATCTACTGAATTTCAGGATTATGAGACTGCAGTTATTTATGCATGCAGACTCAAAGTCTGGGAAAATGGCTCTGGATGGTACCATTTTGAAATTCAAAATGTCAACTATCCAATTGTACAGGAGAATTTTAGTCACTAGAGGACAAGATAAGAAAGAAGGTAACGTGCATTTTTACATATATAAATGCAGGTTGTTAAGAATTAAATTACATATCTGACAACCTGCATTTTCCTGCTGAGAAAACTGAGTCTTAAAGAGTTGATGTGATTTGCCTAAGGTTTATAAGGTAGAACTTGAATAATAACTTCTAGACTTTGAGTCTAAAGCTCACTCTTAATGCTTCCCTCCTTTGTCCACCACAGAATTTAATGTTGAGCTAAGTCAAACATGTAAATTTCTTCAAAGAAAACTTTGTTTGTCTATAATAGTAGGTAGATCTGTAGGTGAAATGCTTCATTTGGGAAGATGAAAAAAATTGATGAACCAACTCGGATTTCACTGATATCCTCTGGTTCACTTAGTTATGAGACAGCTGTTAGTGCTAGTCTCCAGGACATCCCATAGTCAATAACAAATAACTTGAAAAATGAATTACTGATGTAGATCTTTTTAGATTTATGATAGGAAGGATCCAGGAGTGCTCAATAGTAAAAAGACTTACAGATTATTGGCTGAGTGGAATTTAATACTTGACACTTGAATGAAACCATACATTTTCTTTAAAAACCAGCTTATTTAAAAACAATTATACTTTATCAACTTATAAATGAAACAATGATACTATATAGATAAAATTTATAATAGTCAACATTATATATTTGAGATATTGGATTCTACATATTGTATGTTTGCTTGGGTGTCAGTATAAAAATCTCATCTGCACTATTTATCTTTACATTTGATGCCTACTTTCTTTTATTTAATGTTTACATTCTAAGAATTTTGGACTCTATATTTATTCACTGAAGCAATGCTATCATGAATGAAATTATTTACTGGGATTAATATTCAGTTTATGTTTATGTCAAATTTACAATTATTCGTGGAGATAGGTATACCTACCACACAGAAAATTTCGACATTGGAAGGTTTAGAAGAAAATGAATTTGGTTATTTGTCTGGCTAACTGGATAAAAGTCAGCATAAATAATAGGTGATAAATATAAATGGTTTCTATAATTTTCATTGAGGAAATAAAAATGCATGAAAACTGCGTTCCTCTCTGCTATCAGAAGGGTCACAAGGAAGGGATGAATCAACTAGGGTACACAGTATAGCACTGATTAAATACACAATATTCCTCTGGTTCTTTGAGGCTTCCTCATCCCCCCATTATCATGACCCCAGTCCTGCCTTTCACTACGGGCTAGAATGGAAGATATGCGTAGGTACAGATAAGAGATAAGAGCTCACAACACAAGTGGAATCCAGGAACAAGAATGGGAGTAGCAATACCAGGAGGGTCGGGAGAAAAGATCGTAATGATGGACACATAACACACACACACACACACACCCCGAGGGGGGAACGAACAACAGAAACCATGGGGGAAGGGAGACTGCGGTCAGTATAAGACATGAAAATAGTAATAATTTATAAAGGGGTCATGAAGGTTGGAGTGGGGAGGGAAAAAAGAGAAGCTGATACCAACAGGCTCAATAGAAAGTAAAATGTTTAGAAAATAATGATGGCAACGTAGGTACAAATATGCTTGATATAATTGACATATGGATTGTTATAAGAGCTGTAAGAGCCCCTAGTAAAATGATCTTTTAACTAAAAAAAAAAAAACCCGATATGACAAAATAATAATTTATAAATTATCAAGGGCTCATGAGGGAGGGATGAGCGGGGAGGGAAGGGAAAAATGAGGACCTAATGCCAGGGGCTTAAGTGGAAAGCAAATGTTTTGAGAATGATGAGGGCAATGAATGTACAAATGTGCTTTACACAATTGATGTATGTATGTATTGTGATAAGAGTTGTATGAGCCCCTAATAAAACGATAAAAAAACCCCCAACTATTCGTCCCCTAAACTTAGTGTTAATCTATAATTGGGAATTGTTATCATTTGTTGTGGGTATAAATAATAAAGGCTGATTATGCTCAACTTCATTTTTTGTTTCAACTTCATTTTTAAAGCAGCCAAATGGAACACATTAAAACAAAACAAAACTGAGAACTTGGTTTGACTGTAAACAGTTTACCTTTTAGCATGTTTAATTAGCTCACCCTTTGTCAAAACATTTGTTAGCTAGCTTTATTGCACTGTTACGAAAGTAAGTTGTATCTGAACAAACAAGTGAGCAACTGTTTCTTGTCTAGTGTTTAACCCCTTTAATACATTTATTTTTAAACTATCTTTCCTTGGTTTGATAATATAAAGAGGTGTCAATGAATTGCACCATTTAAACTTACTGTGTGACAAAAGACAAAACAGCAACAAAAAATTTGACTTCTACTACCTCGAGCTGTTAAATGATTATTTATAAAATACCGTTCTTTAAATTCATGATAATATAAGAGTAATGTGTCTCATAGACTGACAAGGATATAAAAGTATGAAATGTAGGATTCTGGAATGCCATAGAGATATTTCTCAATATGTTTGAGATCATAAACTTACATGACAATAAATTCTTAATTATACAATTTCTTTCATTCACTAGAATCCGTAACTCACTGCCATCAAGTGAATTCCAACTCTTAGCAACCCTATAGGAAAGACTAGGACTATTCTGCGGGGTTTCCAAGACTGTACATCTTTACGGAATCAGACAGCTTCATCTTTTTTTCCAGAGTGGCTTGTGGGCTTGAACTGCTGACCTTGTAGCTAGCAAGCAAGTACATAATTCACTATGTCACAAGGGCACCTATAAGCCCTCAACTTAGTTTTTATTTAAATCATCAAGCAAGTTTTAGGCACTCTTTTTTTTAAAATCGTTTTATTAGGGGCTTATGCAACTCATCACAATCCATACATACATCAATTGTGTAAAGCACATTTGTACATTCATTGCCCTCATCATTTTTAAAACATTTGCTCTCCACTTAAGCCCCCCGGCATCAGGTCCTCATTTTCCCCCCTGCCTCCCTGCTCCCCACTCCCTCATGTGCACTTGATAATTTATAGATTACTATTTTGTCATATCTTGCCCTGTCCGACGTCTTCTTTCATCCACTTTTATGTTGTCCGTCCCCCAGGGAGGAGGTCACATGTAGATCCTTGTAATTGGTTCCCCCTGTCCAACCCACTCTCCCTTTACACTCCCAGTATCGCCCCCTCACCACTGGTCCTGAAGGGATCATCCGCCCTGGATTCCCTGTGTTTCCAGTTCCTATCTGTACCAGTGCACATCCTCTGGTCTAGCCAGACTTGCAATTTAGAATTCAGATCATGATAGTGGAGGCGGGGAGGAAGCATTTAGGAACTGGAGGAAAGTTGTATTTTTCATTGTTGCTACATCGCACCCTGACTGGCTTGTCTCCTCCCAGAGACCCCTCTGCAAGGGTATCTCCAGTAGTTAGGCACTCTTTTAAATGAGTTTGACTTAGGGATTTTTGTACTCAATGCAAGAATAAAGCTTAAAGGTTGTTTTTTTAAATAAAAGTAGGTATTAAATAAACTGAACATTTAGTGAGCCATCCTGACTGCTTAAATTGTGATTTAGATTAGTTTCATATTTGTCAAAACTCACCATGCCATTCCCTTAAGTTTTTAACTTACCTCCTTTTCTTTTCCAGAAGTCTCACAAAATATTGAAATTTATGTCGCTTCAATTTGGGGATGCAAATGTTTTCACAGTCTACCTTTGTCTTCTGGATTATACTTGGCACCTGGAAGAAATACACATAAGGCTCAGTAGAACAATATATTTGAGTGTCTAGTGGCTAAAAAAGGAACCCTGGTTGCATAGTGGTAACAAGTTGGCCTGTGATATGCAAAGTTAATAGTTCAAAACCACCAGCCTCTCTGTAGGAGAAGGGGGTGGGTGGGATTCTACTCCTTTAAAGAGTTGTGGTCTCAGAAACGAACAGGGGCAGTTCTACCTAGTCCTCTATGGTTGCTATGAGTAAGTATTGACTATGGCAGTGAACTTTTTGGTCTGAGTAGCTAACAGGAGTCACTATCTTAAGATTGTCTGACTAGACACTTTTCCAAGCACTATACAGGGAATATCTTTAAAAATGTTTGGAATCATGTCAGCCTTGAGACACAGTTGGTTTTTTTTGTTTTTTTTAAACATTTTATTAGGGGCTCATACAACTGTTATCCCAATCCATACACCCATCAATTGTGTAAAGCACATTTGTACATCGTTTCTCAAAACATTTTCTCTCCACTTAAACCCCCGGCATTAGGTCCTCATTTTTCCCCTTCCTCCCCGCTCCCGCATGAGCCCTTGATAGTTTATAAATGGGTATTTTGTCATATCTTGCCCTGTCCAACGTCTCCCTTCACCCACTTTTCAGTTGTCTGTCCCCCAGGGAGGAGGTCACACACAGTTCCATGTAATCGGTTCCCTCTTTCCTACCCATTCTCCCTTTACCCTCCCTGTTTCGCCACTCACACCACTGGTCCTGTAGGGCTCATCCACCCTGGATTCCCTGTATTTTCAGTTCCTATCTGTTCCAGTGTACCTCCTCTGGTCTAGCCAGACTTGCAAGATCGAATTCGAGTCATGGTAGTGGGAGCAGGGAGGAAACCTTTAGGAACTAGAGGAAAGTTGTATTTCTCATCATTGTTACATCGCACCCTGAGTGGCTCATCTTCTCCCGGAGACCCCTCTGCAAGGGGATCTCCAGTGGCCTACTAATGGGCTTTGGGTCTCCACTCCACAGTCCCCCCATCATTCACTATGGTAAGATTTTTTGTTCTGATGATGCCTTATACCTGATCCCTTCGACACCTCGTGGTTGCATAGGTTGGTGTGCTTCTTCCATGTGGGCTTTGTTGCTTCTGAGCTTGATGGCCATTTGATTACCTTCAAGCCTTTAAGACCCCAGACGCTATACTTTTTGATAGCCGGGCACCATCAGCTTTCTTCGCCACATTTGCTTATGCACCCATTTGTCTTCAGTGATCCGTTCAACACCTCGTGATCACACAGGCTGATATGTTGTTCCATGTGGGCTTTGTTGCTTCTGAGCTAGATGGCTGCTTGTTTACCTTCAAGCTTTTAAGACTCCAGACGCTATATCTTTTGATAGCCGGGCACCATCAGCTTTCTTCACCACATTTGCTTATTCACCCGCTTTTTCTTCAGCGGTTGGAGACACAGTTCTTAAGTTAAAAAAATATCAACATTCATGGTCTTCTAAAACTAGCTAGAATGCTAGATTTTGGTTTCATCCTTTTTCTATATTAGTAGTATAGTCCTAGAGATCCATTCTCCTGTGGCTCTGAATGTGGGAGCCACATTCCATCAGAGTTTAATGTATCTATAGGGAACTAACTAGGCATAGACACAGCTGTTGACAAATAATGGAGATGACTTCTGTGCTGAAAGAATGATATGAAGCATACAAAGGGAGAACAGAGAAGAGATAGATGTATTAATTCTGCCTGGAGGTGCCATGTAAGAGGTATCTTACTAAGTCACATTTGATATGGGTCTTGAAGGTTTCTTGAATTTTTACTAGATACAGAAGAGAGATATTATAAATAGAGGAATGCCATGAACGGGAAATCCTAGAGGCATGAAAGTTCAGGTAATAATGAATAGTGAGATTAACCTCTGAGTGTCAGTTAACTCATCTTTAAGATACAGGATAAATAACTCATGCCTTTTATACACACACAACTATGACAATCAAATGAAGTTATGCATGTCAACCACAAAAACCAAACTCACTACCATTGAGTTGATGTCAACTTATAGTGACCCTAGACTGTCACACTTTACAGAAGTAGAAAATCTCATCTTTCTGCTTTGGAGTGAGCACATTGATAGTTTCGAACTGCAGGGTTATGGTTAGCAGCCCAATGCGCAACCTTATGTAGTCACCAGGGCTCCTGTGCATGTGAAAGTAGCATGCAAATCAAATTCTACTCTCCTATTGCTCTTGTTTTATATGTGCTAAAATATAATATACACATTATTTTAGGCTTTCATTTTTTTATTCCATTCTTTAAAATGACCATTTTAATTTTTCCATAGGCTAAATTACTTGAGAAATAGTATTATAGGATAGTAAAGACCACAGATTTTGATGTCAGAATTTTAACTTTGTAGCTTACTAGTTGTATGACCTTAGGCAAATTATTTTACCTGTTATCTCATCTATAAAATGGAGATAATATCTATATCACAGGAATGTTGTGAATACTAAATGAATTTATGCAAAATTTTTAGAGCAGCTCTCAACACTTGTTAAAAGCTATATATCTTAATTATATGTTACATTAACATTTAAATTGTTAAAAATAAATTACAATAATAATTATTTACATGTTACAAAGTAAAATTGCATACTTTCCCCTGAATTTGGCTTCTGTCCCCATACATCAAAATAAAAATTTGTTTTTTGTTTTATTTTAAAAAATCTTTGACTAGCTCTAGTGCACCATATATGTACCTATATATATATTTTAAGGAGTGTTAGTGGCACAATGATAAGCCTTTGGCTGTTAACAAAAAAGTTGGTGTTAACCGATTACAAGGATCTACATGTAACCTTCTCTCTGGGGTATGTACAACAGAAAAGTGGGTGAAGGGAGACGTTGGACAGTGTAAGACATGACAAAATAATAATTATAAATTATCAAGGGTTCATGAGGGAGAGGGGAGCGGGGAGGGAGGGGGGAAAATGAGGAGCTGATACCAAGGGCTTAAGTGGAGAGCAAATATTTTGAGGATGATGAGGGCAACGAATGTACAAATGTCCTTGACAACAATTGATGTATGTATGGATTATGGTAAGAGTTGTATGAGACCCCCAATAAAATAAAAAAAATCATACCAAAAAAAGTTGGTGTTTTGAACTCCCCCAGTGGTTCCTCTGAATTAAAGACCTGGTGATATGCTGTCATAAAGATTATATCTTAGAAAGCTTTATGAGGCAGTTTTGTGTCAAGTGGGATGGCTATGAATCAAAATTGCCTAAATAGCACTAGCAGCAACATATATGTATTTTAAAGAAAAACTTTAATGCACTTGTCAATTTCTTTGTGATCTTAGTAAGATTTTTATCCTCTATAAGCTTCAGTTTCCTCAATCTGTAATGGTAGAATTTTATTACTTATACTGATTTTGAGAATTATGTTAAAAATTTTTTTTAATTCTTTAGAGAGTTTTGGATTCTTTCCCTAAATACATGCATATAAACACAATATTTTGAAAACAATTTCAGATGTTAGAGAATTCAAGAATGTATTAATAGTTTCCTTGGGGGTTCAGTCTTGGAACTTCAGATTAAAAAAAAAATTCTAATCAGGACTCAGATTTTTCATTTTAGTTTTGTCACTGGTTTAATTTTATTACTTTTGAAAGTGTAGAGCGCTGTCTTATTATCATCTTTCCCCATGCTGTAACCAACAATGAAGGGCAATAGTTATTTAGACTTTACTATGTGCCATACTAATTACAGATACAAAACATTAATTAGTAACTTTGTGCTTTTATATATATATATATGTGTGTGTGTGTGTGTGTGTGTGTTCAAAAATAAGTTTCCACCCAACTTGCTCAATCTTAATCCAAGCAGTAGACCAGCATACAAGGTAAACAATAACACCAGGAGGGATTCGCTCACTCCTTAGAATAATCAACCATAGGAGATCAAAAGGGCAATATTTGCCCAACAATAGGGCTGAGAAAACTGTAATGGATAGGAAAAAAGGACAATTAGAAACAAACGCAAGAAGAAGTGGGAAGAGCGCTGTTACTTTGAATTGCAATCAATACTACAAGACAAAATATGTATAAATTGTTAGATGGAAAACCAATGTGTTCTATAAAATTCCATCCAAATCATGATAAAACATTTTTTAAAGCTGATAAATGAGGAGTTACACAACTATTTGAATTTCACTATTTTATCTTGCAGTAACTCTCCACCTCCACTTCTCCAGCAACCATTTAATTTGGATCTGATTCCAGCACTATGACTACTAATTCTGATTTTTAAGTTTAGCCTAAAGAATGTGTTGCTTCAAAGATATACTTACAAAGGAACCTGGTATATTTAGACTGTTTCCGTGAATGCTACTGCTGTTGGTCACCATTCAATCCATTCTGACTCATAAACTCATAGTGACCCTGTGTACAGCAGAACAGACCCTATGAATAACACTGCCCAGCCCTGCACAGTCTTACCATTGTTGTGGTGAGTCCATTGTTGTAGCCATTGTGACTATAACCATTTCATTGAGGGGCTTCCTCTTTTTCACTGAACTTCTTTAACAAGCATAATACCTCATTTTCAAGGACTGATCTCTCTTGATAACGTGTCCAAAAATACATGAGACAAAGTCTCAGACATCCTCAGTTTTTTTGTTTTTTTTTTCATCCTCACCTCTAAGGAGCATTCTGGCTATACTACTTTTTCCCCCCCTTTTGAGTTATGAATATTTATTTGTTTGTCTATGCATCTATTATTATTATTTTTTAATCATTTTATTAGTATACTACTTTCAAGAAAGGTTTTGTTTGTTTTTTCTGGCAGTCCATGGTACTTTAATTTTTTTTTTCTTTTAAGCAAAAGGGAAGAAATTTATTGGAGCCCATATGGGAAACCCCAGAGGGGCCCAGCATCCCCTACTGTGTAGGCATGCCCAGTAAAGGGTCATACCATTCACTGTACCCCCATGTCCCAGAGGGACACACCTTGAGCCA